AAAGTAGAATACTGGGTTAAAAAAATGTTAAAGTGGATTTCCTTTTAGAACGTTATAGACACACCTAATATGAACACATGTAAATTTTACCGTTGATTTTTCAACCACCTCCCAAAGATATAAAAAACCATTGGCCTGATCAAAGCAGTAGACTGGATTTCATACTACTTGGTGCAGCTAAGCATTTAGTTTAAGGTAGGATTAGAAGACTTTAAACACTAATCCAGACTTCTGATACTGCAAAGGAAAACAGCATTTTCCAATATATTGAAGGCTGTTGATGATTATATGTGCCCTTGCTTTTCCACTTACAAATAGTTATTATTGACTAGTTTTAGAATTTTATAAAAGATCCTCAAACTTATTTTCATAATAAAACTGGATACTTCTAGAAGAGGACAGACTTGCTTTGCAAACACTTAAAGCAATTAAGAATGACCACACAAGTGATGAGTGAAGGAATAATGCATTGCTTAATTTCAGGTAAATACAATCAACACAAATGCTGCAAATACATTGCTGGTGTCCGGAACCAAAGAAGGCACTATTAGTATATGGGATGTTACTTCCACTACTGTGTTGCACCAACTTGCATGTCATTCAGGGACTGTGTATGATGCTGCTTTTAGTCCTGGTATGTTGTATTTACATTTTTTTAATAGGTAGAGAGAAGATGATAGTCAATGCTTAATTCTACAATGTTGATACTGGATTTTGGGATAATGGCAGATTTTAGATATTATCTTAAGGTCAGCCCATCTCATTGTCTCAGCTTTTATAAGTGTTTTGAATTACTTGGCTTCAGAATTCACATTTTCTTGGCAGTTTAGAAGGTGCCACTTTTTTGCTTGAAGGTGTACATAGCCAATACTTAATTGGAATGAATTTTTTACTTGAAAAAACAGATTTTTCTGACATGTTTTTATGCCCAAATACTAAAGAGAATTTTCTATGCTTCAGAAACTGAGGTATTTGATACTTATTTAATGCATCTCAACTTTTTTATAGATAGCAGACATCTGCTCAGCACAGGAGAAGATGGCTGTTTTAAAGTTATAGATGTACAAACTGGAACGCTTATCTCTTCTTTGAGTTCTGACCAGCCACAAAGGTAATACTGAGAAAATGCTAAATGTGAAAGTAACTTCTAAGTTCAGTGAGTTGGTTTTGCACAAATATTTTGGAGAATCAAATTTTGAGTGCAGGACATAGACACTTGTATTGTTATCAAATGCCTTTCTAGAGCAGGGATCAGCTACATTTTTGGGCAGAGTGCCAGAAACACCTGCAACCTCACCTTGTAAGGTTGGTGTGCCAGGGGTGGATGATAGGGGAGCTGAGAGTGGCCCAATCCTTGTTGTGGCAGTGCAGCCCCAGCCCCTTCTCCTGGCACCCATGTTGGGGGTTGCCTACCCCTGTTCTATCGTATGGAAATTAGACATTTTGAATATGTATATAAAGTACATCTCAACTAGGGAAAGTGAAGTCCTTTTAACAAGATGTCTGTATACCAGCAGATCAGAGTTCCAGCTGCAGTTCAGGTATGCACAGTGTACTGCAGCCAAAGCTTCACTACTTAAATGTTAAAAACCGGAACCTTAATAAATGGTCCCACATTCAGGAGGGCAGTGCCTGTGCAGTTTCTGTTTAAATTAATCAGAACTGTGGTTATTTAGCTCTTACCTAGGAAATTTCCCATATTTCTTGCAGTGATAAAGTCTAAGCAATAGAAAAGTGTATACCAATATTTGTTTGGATGACTGAAAATGATTACATCCAAGTTTTTTTTAGTAATGACAAAACAATTAATATTTTTGTCTTAAGGTACTAAATTTCTGCGATATGGACATGCAGGTTTTTATTCTGCATTTGTAAGACAAATTCAAAATGCAGTTGGTTTGTAGTGTACTATAGTAGTGCCCTCCTTTCAAATGATCTTACACTGAAATAAAAGCGACTTGAAGGCTCACCTCTCTTCACCTGCACTTTATATATAGTTCCAGAACCATAAACCACTGTGGTATCTGTGATTTAAATAATCAATATTTATTATTGTTTTACCTCCTTCTGACTTGCTCCTTTGTCTTGACACTTTTTATAATATAATTCATAAAATTCTTAGTATAATCCTTCACTTATTCCAAAAATAGATAGGATTTGTTTTATTAAAGGCTAAGTCAAACAAACTGGTCTACTGAATGACTTTGCAGGTGCTTCAAATGGGATGGAAATACAGTCCTGTCAGGAGGCCAGTCTGGTGAATTACTGGTTTGGGACCTTCTCGAAGGAAAAGTTATTGAAAAATTCAAAGGGCATGCAGGTGCGCTTGGTACTGTGTAATCTCTCTTGATTTCTGTGTAAGACTTCCTTTTGTCTAAAAAAACACTGTATACTCTAACACTTGGTTTTAAATGTCTGATCATAAATATCTACAAGCCAGTGTCACGTGGAGAACTGAAATTAAGAAAGAAGTGCTACGTTTTGACTCCCTAGAACGTATTATCTTTAAGATTGGGGGCGGGATGGGGTTAGTTCATTACTGTTGAGTTTGCATCATAGTAAAGGCAGGGATGTCTTAATTATGTTAGTCAGTTTGTCTATTAGGTTGGACTTCTGATATGGAAAATAGCAAATGGAGTTCTACAAAGTTCAATACTAAGATAATCTTGTTTTATCTATATAGTATTCCGGCTAGAGTGTGCGTATATGGATGACTGTTCTCCTCTGGATGGAGTATTGGGCCTGCTTGTGGTTGGGCTGCCCCTTATATTTAAGATCTGGACATATGACACCACTACTATGAAGTAATTATCCTAGATTTTACTCCACAGTGGGTGCATCTACACATGCACTTAATGCAAAGCAGTAAAATGGTGCATATCACACCCGAATTTGTTGCTCCCACGTGCTGCATTTATACATGTGCCCGGGACCATAGCACATTAAACCAGGTTGGAGCAGCCCCAACTGGCAGGGAGCCCAGAAGGTCAGCTTGCCAAACCAGAGATGCTCTGACATGGATCAGCATGCTGCAGAGGAGCTGGCTGGGGCACAAGGATGCTTCAGTGCAGGGGCAAGCCAGCAGGTAGCCCCTACACTGAAGCACCCTCATGCTCTAGCCAGCCCCATTAACGTCTACACATGTTTTGCTGCGCAGTAAATAACGCTGCTGCAAGATAGTACTTGAATTTAAAAGTACCTACAGCAGTGCTTGCTAGTTTTACTGCAGCCTAATAGGGCCAACCATGTAGACACAGAGATTATTGCAGAGCTGTTTAGGCAGCAATGCCTCTTGGGTGACATGAGGAAAAAGCAACACAATAGATGTATAATCTTTGAACCTTTGAGGAGTTGTATTAATAGAATGGGGTACTTGAGTAGTAAGCCAGAGCCAGTATACTCCCTGATATAGCTAGTTGTTCAGATATCTGCAGTAGATTAGAAGTCTGGAGCAGGGTGTGTGTTGGCTTTGCATTTGTATGTTTAAAACTGGCTTATTATATAATTGGGGAATAGATAATCTGTCAGAAGTCCTATATTTTCATGTCGATGCAATGTTACATGGTCTTCAGTTTTCAGTGTATTTACAAACAGTTCAAGTATTGCATGGTACAGTCAGTCTGAAAGCTTGAAGAAAACTGTCATAGTTTTCTATTAACTTGTTTTTAAGATTTCCCTCAAGTTGGCTATAACATTTTAATAAAACTTACATCTGTATTAAAGGATGAGTGAAACTGGGATTTGTAATATTTCGGACTGGTCAGATCCTTCCACAAAAGTGTATTCTTACTTGTATGCCCATTTATTTCTTTAAAAAAAATCAACATAATTGAAGTGGCAATGAAGAGAGTTCACTGAAAACTGATCAGAAGGAAAAGTCCTACAGCTCTCAGCCAACTGATTTAGAATAAAAATTGCTGTGACTAAATTTAATCCAGTCAGTCCTAAAAGATAGGTGAGGAGATGTAGTATGCTTCAGCTGTAGAGTATTCATATTGTACAGGAGAGAGGTTGAGCATGTTCATGCAAGAGAAAACAAATAGCCAACAGCAGCCTATCTGCTAAATGACCCCCAGCACCTATTTTAAAATCATGCTTTTCAGGTTTAGCTCCGCACTTATTACATACCCAACTGTACTTGCCTCTAATACACAATTCTGCTTTGCTTTTTTCCCCAGGTGCTGTAACATCTATGTGGATGAATGAGCAATGCAACAATGTGATCACGGGAGGGGAAGACAGACAAATCATGCTCTGGAAACTGCAATACTAAGTGCCTTTCCCCTCCAGCTATTTAAACAAATGCTTTCAAGTTATATTTTTAAACCAAACTTTTTAAAGGAACTTACCCATGTGCAATGATGGCTACTGAAGTTCAACCAAACAAAGCTCTGTTCAGCTAAGGCTTTCTAGTTCATGGTGACTTCATTAGAAGTTCTTAAATGCTTATTATAATTTCCATTCTGTACTTATTGGTTTTTCATGATGACTGTCATATATCTCAGATTAAATGCCTGTCTCTGTATCCTGAGATGCAATTAAAGATGTATTTTCTGTAATTAAAGAAATCTTAACTTGCAGTCATTGTGTGACCTAACTGAAATGTATTGAATACCATATGCATTTTTTAAACAAAAAAAGATGCTCCGTTTTCAGCAAGGACCACATTAATAAACACGTGGTGCATCATTCAATTGAAAATGTCTACCAGATACTCTTTCATGGATCTGCTAAGTTCTCTACAAACTTGTTAGGATGAAATAAAGATCAGGGTGGGTATTTTTCTTCTACTGGGCCTACTCTCCATTGTAGAACTTGCAACTTCTTGCTTTTTAACGGGAGGTGCAGTAGGAATCCTTACTCATAAGCACAAAATGCAGCTCTGTAGAGATAGTAGCTGCTACATTTTAATGGCATCTGGGACAAAGTGCTCCATGACTAGAGTTATTTACATGGAGGGGAACACCACGCAGTTTTGGGGCCTAAGGAGAAGGTTATTTACCAGCAAAGCACTCCTAGACTTGCAACTTGTACCTCCTTAGTTCAAAACTGAGGAATTGCCTTAAAAAGCAGTGTTAGTTTCTGCATGGAAGGGGGCATTCTCTCATGTACATTCTTTCATGAAAGGATGTCATCGTCAGCTTACTCTTCGCACCCCAGCAGGAGGTGACGCCTGGAATTCTGGGGTAGATTGGAAGGTGGGCAGGAAGTGCAACTGTGGAGGTATCTTTTGATTCATCAAGGGATTAATCCCAAAGTAGCCAGTTGTTACGCCACTGAATGTATTCTTTATTGATGCTGCATAAGACTGTGTGACAGTGACTAAGAATTAGCACTAAAATAAGTAAATGTTTCTCAGAAGATTGCATTTTACCTGAGCCGTGACCTTTTGGAGATTGATTTGGTTGACTGAGTGAAATCTGAGCTTGGCAAACAAGTTTATCTTCAACTAGCAGTGATTGTACTTAATGATGTCCTAATGTATCTCTCAGTAGAATCCTGCACCACTTCTGTGGTTTTGGCCAGACCCAATGTCAGTTTAAGCAGTCTATAGTTACTTGGGTCAGCATGGTTGCACCCTTTTAAGTATTGGCACAACGTTAGCCTCTTTCTCAGGCTTGCATCTCCCTGCTCGCAAAGCTTTGAGAGCATACAAGTTATGCTACATTGTTACTTAAATATTTATCTATAATAAATGATAAGCTCCCTGCTTACTAATGGACTGAAAAGCACTTCACTGTCCCCCTGTGATAAAAGCACAGCCTGCTCTTCTTCCAAATGCAGAACAATATATTTATAAAAATAATATATATATTTATTGAATACTTATGCTTTCCCTGCATCATTAACAATTTTACTAACTTCATTTAGTCATGCTTCCATCGTACTGATAGGTAATCGGGAACAAAAATCCTATGTTTATCTCTTTCAGCCATGGGTGGGGTTTTTTATTGTTTCTTTTGTTTCCTTTATCAATATTTTAAATTCCTTGAAATATTGATTACTATGCATTGATAAGTGTCCATTTCTTGCATAAGTCTTTTTAAATTATACTTGTAATCACTGGCTAGACTTCCCACTGAATTAAGATGTGCTTTTATAAACTTGATTGTGGAACTCAGCTCTTTTTCCAACTTACTCATTCCCATTTTTGTTAGTTTTTGCTCTTAATTTATCCATCTTGGGTAATTAGCTCTCCGAAGGAATAAGTGTGGCCATATGTATTGCTGAGTGGAACTGTCCTCTACTTAACTGAATGCGATTTGATCATAATCCTAAATTTACACTAAAACAGCTAGAGAGGGGGGAAAAGGTTACTAGTCTGGCAAAGGGAGATGGAGACCTTATTTTATGAAAGAAGGTAAAAAGAATTTGGCTTAGAATTATAAAGTTCTAGAAAATTAGGGTTAGAAGGGATCTTGGGAGGTCATCTAGTCCAACCCTGTGCTCAAAGCAGGACCATCCCCAACTAGATCATCCTAGCCCAAGCTTTGGCTAGCTAGGTCTTCAAAACCTCCAAGGCTGGAGAGTCCACAACCTCTCTGAGTAACCTGTTCCAGTGTTTTACTACCCTTCTAGTGAGAAAATTCTTAATATCTAACCTAAACTTCCCTTGCTGCAACTTGAGACCATTGCTCCTTATTCTGTCATCTGCCACCACAGAGAACATCACAAAGAGGACTGAGGAGGGATACAATATATATTCATTTATTCTGCTATATACTAAATATACACACAAAAGGAAGAAGATATGTTTCTTAGGCTAAAGGACAGTATTGACAGGAAATTTAGGAAAGGTCCTTTTAGGGGAACCAGATTCTAGCCCAGGAGCTGCCTTCTAGTCATCTGTGGCTTTAATCGCTGTACTCCAAGTAACCAACTGGCCTGTTAATCTATTAATATTTGTCTGTCGTGTGTTCCAAAACTGCCTGTGTGCTGCTATGTGATGCTGGGCCTTCTGACATGTCAGGTTACTTCCAGACCCTGTATATTCTGTGGCAGTTGTTTTTTTTTTCTACACAATAGATCCTGCATCAGCTGGTGCTAGGTGTGTCAAATCTCTTGCATCATTTAGAAAAAAGAATGCAGCACATGGAAGGTAGAGCAGAGTTGTTTTCCTGTATAGTCATTCATCAGGTGAACTCTGTTGCTAGGAAAGTAACCAGCCCGATTTATGTTTGGACCCCTGTACTTACTGCAAAGATGTAAACACCTATCTGCTTCCTTTGGACTTTGAAGCCCCAGTGTATCCATGCAAATATGCACATGGACTAAACACCTACAACACTTAGCAAGTTCTTCTGCCTCTAACAACATGACCTGCAGCTGGACCTGCTGAAGTTGTGTTCCCAGTAGGTACAGGGCTAAGCCTTTTTTTATTGACAAAAGCAGAAATATCCATTTTTGTATGTAATGTTCGAGTTTCTCCTTGCTAACAGGATATACAGTACTCTATTGCCCCAAGCACTGTACACCACAGTAAAAAGCTACTGCTTGTGTTGGATAAGAAATAGCCATAATACATTTGATGGATGGGGCAGCACTAACAGATTAACATCAGTCTGCTTGAAACAGCCACTTAGTTTGCTGAATCAACTAACAAGCAGTGTTTTCAGGCATCACAGAGAGAGGGTTTTGGAGGTAGCTGTGCAGATGGTTGACAGCTTCCCATGAAGGGCAGCATGAAAGCACCTGTTTGAAAGCTACAGTAAGAATGACTGACATTAAAGGCTAATCCGAGATGAGTTTTGATGACTTGTTATTCAATGGGTGCATCTGCCCAGGCCAGGAAACAGCTGTCTCCTGGCCCTAGGTGGGGGCTGCCTGCTTCTGGGGCAGGACAACATCCCTCTGCCACAGGAGCAGGGAGCTCCTGGACCTGGCTCCCTGATCAGGGGCACAGGGCTTGGAAAGAGCTGCAGGCGAGGGGCAGGTTCAAGCCCCTTGTCCCGATCCATCAATGGGGCAGCTAGCTTCCCCACTGGCAGATCAAGCAGGGGGTTGGGACCTACCCCACCACTTCAGCTCTTTCCAAGCCCCATGCCTCAATCACACAGCTGGGACTGCCCGTGACTGTGACAGTTCCCAGCCAGCCCTGGACAGTACAGGAAAGTCTGCATGTGCAGCCCGGAGCTGGCTGGGGACTGGCTGAAACAGGACAGTCCCTAGCCACTTCCAGGCTGCACATGCTTCCCCACACAGATGGGCAAGCTGGGAACTGTCCCAGGTCCAGGTGCGGGCAGGTCCCTGCCAGCTCCAGGCTGGGCAGGGAATTGTCCCCATGCAAGGAACTCCCAGCCCCTGCTCTGCAATTGCAATTGTGGAGTGGGCCTGGGAATAAACTCCCAGTCCATAACCGGGAAACAGGGCCTGGAAGCTCCCTGCTGCTGGGGCAGGAAGACATTGTCCCCAACTGGGAACGCAGGGTTGGGGCTGGGAAGCTTGTTTCCTGCCCAGCTCTGTGAGCGTGGAGGTGGGGTGGGGAACAGGCTGTCCCCCCTCCCCCCTCCAAATCTCGGCCAGCAGGCAGTTCCCAGCATTGGCTCTGTGACTATGGGGCTGCTGCTGGGAGACGCTTATCTCCCAGCGTCAGCTCTGCAACCATGGAGTTGGTACTGGGAGATAAGAATCCCCCAGCCCCCTGCACCCTGACTGCAATCTCAAGAGTGAGGGGCTTGGAGCTCCCTACTGATGGGGAATGGAGACAGCCTCTGCCCTGACTCCTGTGGCAGAGCCTGTCCCAGCAGCAGGCAGCTCCCAGGGGCCGGGAACAATCTCTGCCCCCCACCCCCTCCCCGGTAGACAGCTGACCAGGAGCAGAATTTGCTTTTGGTCAGGCATTTACACGAGCACTACGGTTGTTACTCATGCCAAATAAATTTGCTACTTGTATTTGCAGGTAGCAAATTTACTTGGTATTAGGGAAGTTTACTGGGAAATAAGCATGTGCACATGTAGATACACATACTTACTTCACAGTAAACTATGCTAATGCAAAGTTAAGCATATTGTGTAGATGTGCCCAGTAGGCACATCTACAAATGCATTTGATCCGGAATCAGTTTATTCACAATTAAACGCCCCTGGGCGTCTACACATGCATGGAAGTGGGAGCAGATTTGCTGCTAACTGCTGCAAACTCCCTTGCAATGGGCCTGTGCTGCCACCAGGGCAAGCTCAAGGCTCCCCTGGGTGCTAGCCTAGGGGCTGGCATGGAGCATCCGGCAGAAGACAGCTGTCTCCTGGCCAGGGGCTCGGACATTACACCCTACCGCTGGGGCTGCCAAGCCAGGGACAATGTCCCCTTCCCCGATACTAGGGAGCTCCTTGCCTTGGCTCCCCAATCAGGGGCAAGGGACTTTGAAAGAGCTGCAGCGGAGGGACAGGTTCCAGCCCCCTGCCCCAATATGTTGGGGCACCTAGCTCATTGCTAGTTGCACCAGCAACAGATCAGGGCAAGAGTCTGGGACCTAACTTGTACCTGCAGCTCTTTTCAAGCCCCATGCCTTGATCCCTCAATCAGTGCATGGGGCTGGGACCTGCCTCTACCAGGACAGTTCCCAGCCCCGACCCTGCATGC